GGTGTTTACAGGGGCGTAGATTACGCGGGGGACGTGTCCCCCCACCCCCACTTTTAATATCAGGTAAATTCGTCCCCCGCACTTTTTCGGGCAAGTGTGTTCGCATAGAGGTTTTCAAGAGCCGGTGTGAATAAATATAGATTTAAATTCAAAGAGACAGGATAGTCTGTGCATGATCTGATGTTTTATTCGGACCCAGAATAAGGCGGATGCTGATCTTGGGAAATGGCCCATGCAGACTTTTCGGACTCTGTTGTGACAATGTACACATTATACCTCAAAGCACACAAGTGTCTTTCTTTTTGCTTTCTTCAGAATAGGGGGAAAAGGGGTGACCCATTTCCTGAAAACTGTAGTCAGGAAACTGATTGTATGGTCTACATGCTGCTAGCAGTGTTGTGAGCGATGTGTGGTGCACTTTGTCTTATGAAGAAAACTGCGAGGAAATATTGGTGGTTTCACACAATTTGTTAGAATCTCAACATGTTTGCCTGGAATACAAATGCATTTTAAATAACATATCCTTGTAATAATATATCCTTATTATATATAGGATATAATACAGAAATTTTATATTGTAATTTTTATATATATATATATATATATATTTTTTTTTTTAAATATATATATATATATAACATTTCTGTCCCCCTCACTTCTGAAATGATGGCTACCCCCTGGGTGTTTACTGTTCTATTACATTGGAATTTAAAAGGGTGTCTGGTATGTCTGAGTTTTTAGGGTTACCATTGTGCCGAAGAGTAGAGCCTGTGGTTAGGTTGACGACTGGCCGAACACCAATAAGACTAAGGGGAGACCCGATATGCTGTGAGTAAGTACCTGTCATGGCTATAGCCGGACTTGTGTCTGGAGTGAGAGTGTGAATTGTCTTATGATGAGAGCTGTTACATTTACACAATGGATTGTTGTTCTATTGAGACAATGATGCATTCACCTAATTCACTCTCATAGAATTGGAGTTTTAAATAATGATTAACTAACCTAGCCCCTAATCCTGACACAAATACACATACAAGCAAATCACAACTGAAATTATCTCTGCAACACTCCTATCGATAAATGCCTCAAATCATCTGTCTGTCTTTTTTTCTTTTTGTGTTTTTAGTTTTGGCAGTGTTGAAAATACAGAGATTATCATATTACATTGTATTATATTGTATTAAATGATCATTGTTTCTTTATGAATGATGCTTAGCCTTTAGCAGTTGCTTTGTCACTGTAAATCACTGTCAGTGTGAATCCCCAACATGGCTTCTGTGCAACCTTTGCAGACCATAATTCCAAATGAAATATGATTTATTTGAATAAAGGCATTTTTATAATTGCTTATTATAAAAAAGCATATTTTTGCATAATTTATATATTTTAATATATAATTTTATGCATAAATGTAATAATATTATATTTTAGAATGAAACAATTTTAGGCCAATAGAATATTTTCAAGTGTTTCCAGGGCAAAAACTAAAATCTAAGCCAGAGAATAAAGTTTAAAGGAAGTCTTTGTTCTTCAAACTGAATTATTATTATTTTTTAATGTGAAGAAGAAGGTGGTTCATTTCAAATGCTAATTACAACAGAGACTCCTGGTGACTTGAAACGTCTGATACTCACACTCATTGATTAACACATATGCTCCCGCTTTAAGAAATCATTCACAAATTCTATCAGATTCATTAAGAGTGTAGGAGTTCAGGGAAGGTTCATCTAGAGTACCCTTATCTTTGATGAAAAAAGAGAAACCAGAAAAGAAAAAAGAAGATCCCAATGAAAACAGTTGCTGCTGGGATATCCATCTCTGTAAAAACAGCTGGGTGTGTGACCCTCGCAGAATATGTTTTGGCAGCAGAAGTCAACTTGCATTACAAAGTAGACCTCTCTGTCACACCATTGTCTAGCCTGGTCCGGCTAATAATTAACACAAACATGAGACAATAGCCTGGGACCAACAAGTGTTGCAGTTAATGAGCAACCAGCCCCACCTTGCATTCACATGCTCTGTTACGAGGCCGCTCACTGGCTGCAACCCTGGCTTATTATTCACACTGCTGTCTCCCCTATCACAGTCATCAGCGGGGCTGCTCATTAGCATAGTTATGCAAGTATCAATACTTTCAGACAATTTTAGGCCTCCCAGCTGGCCGAGGCATAAGGGCCATCCAGCGTATCACTAATGTAATCAGAAAAAGAGAATGTTGCTGTTGATTTGTTGCCAACATGCACGATGGGAATGTGGTTCTCAAACAGAGCATTACCTTTGACCTTGCATTACCCTAAAGCAGGGGTCTTTTAATTAATGAAATATATATATATGTAATAAGTCTGTCTATCTATCTATCCAAAACACAACAACAACAAATTCAGTAAATTTAACTGAATTACATTTTATTTAGTTATATTATTGACTTTTTTCACAATTTTTTTCATTATCTTTAGAACTTTTCCCCAGTTTAAAAGCACTTGCTCTAGAGAAGTATAAGTTGTTCCCTCCTGTGTAAAAAAGACGTGAAGTGTCATAAACATATGTTTTGATGTGTTTTATGATCGGTGTGTCATACTTTACTGTGCTCAATTGCTTTCAGGATTGCCATTAACAGGGACAGTCAAGACAATGTCACATTAAAGCTTGAGTAGTAAAAGTCCAAAATACTTTTTAAAATTCTGAATATGCTTTAAAAGTGTATATTCTGGTGTAATGCCATTCTGAGGTTCTCCCCAACATGTTAAGGCAGCCTCTTGCAACATTCGCTTGTAATTGCGTGTGTGTTGCCCAACACCGGTAACATGAGTGAAATTTGGACACACCTGCATCCATTAGGCCAAACAACTAGGTAGAATAATGTACAGACATCAATACTGGCTGCAATAACATGCTATCAACATACATACAAATGACTGGAAGTGTAGGTCTTTTCATTGGAGGGAAACTTAATATTGAGTGGTAAAGATGTTGTATTTTCAAGTCATGAATCCCTTGCATTGTTGAGAGTGATGTGAAATTATTAATGGCTGAGGTCGTTGGTGTTCTTCCCAGCATACTGCCCTCTTGATTGTGAGCTTGTTACCCATCCTTCAGGACATGACCTTCTTTTGTAGCTTCCATTTTTGCTGTTTATTTGTGCATTTGGACTATTAATTCTGAAAAATCTGCTTTCCGTAGGCAAAAGCAGTTGGTTTTTATATTTCTGAGGACTAAACACTAGATATAACTGTGAAATCATTTGTGTACCTGATTACCCTGGTCAGCCAAAGCTTTCGGGACAGAGTTCTTTTGAGGGGATGGTTAGAAGTGGATCTGCAGGGCAACGGAGAAGCTTCAGATAATAGGCTTTAATGGGGCATTCACATTCAGTAGGCTATAACAAAGACCAGGCAGTGGGATTTGGGAGAGGGGCCGATTGTTGCTCCAGTGTGCCTTGGAGACACAAGCAGAGGACGATGGTGGGGGGAAATCTGGCATTGTTCAGGGGAATGTTAGCAGTTTTTGGGGAGGCCAGAGAATCACGTTTGAAAAAGTAAGAGATAAACAGAGAGAGGGACAGTGAGATACAGAAGGAATCGAAGAAAAGACAGGAGACTACAAGCTTTTCAATATGCAGAATCTCTTTTATTCATCCAAGTTGCAGAAAGCCAGCCACTCTGCCCAGTGTGCAACAGTGCACTTGTGCAGAAAGAGCTGGAAGGTGACAGTGTGCAGCACACTTCTTCCTGGCCAACAGTGTGTCTGGCACTATTTCTATACTAAATATTTAGCCAATTTAGAATGATTCTAGAGCATAATATTCTTTCTTCTGTTAAAATGTATTATCTAATATAGCTGGGTTTTTGTGTTTTTAGTTTTGAAAATGTTGATTATAGGCCTATATCGTACTATGTTAGTTGGACGGGATTGATTTAGGTGAAATGTGTCTTTTATCAAATGTACAGTATGTATGGATGTATTTATTTATTTTCATGATTGATGTGTAGCCTTTGATCAGCATAACGCGTTTGATCATCTCTAGACGTATGCGCTGAAATGAATGTGCACTGAATGTGTGTAGCCTATTGAAAGGTGTCACAGAGCTTCTCCTCTGGACTTGACCGCGGGGATTGTTATGCCACAGACCGCAGATGAATGAGAGAAACGGGAACATTTCAAACAAAGTGTTTCCCTCAGATTCGTCTCGTAAGCATTTTAAGCCTCACTCTCTCCGATCGGCTTTAGTTCAGTGTAACACCTGCACAGTCGCGGAAACTTGGCCATGATCAATTCTTTTAAAGTTTTCACAGCCAGCTGTAGCCTAATGATGATAATTATTTTGTATAAACGTCTGACGTCTTGCAAATAAGTTGGTCCTCCTTCTCTAAAACACACGCAAAAAGACCTTTCTAGCGTCACCGACTAATAAATCAATTAGGCGTGCATTGTGAAGTCACGTCTAAAAGGATTAGCGGGAAAGACAGCACAATGATGTAATTAAGGAAAGGTGTCATTTACAGTTGTTGAATACAGAGCTCGAGAACTTTTTTGAAAGGAATTGCCTAATTTGTTTTTCCTGCTTATTTACAATGCAATAAATCTAGGTGTTATTTCAAAGTTACTTTTATAGTCTACTTACTATATTAGTGTGGGATCATTAATTGTTTATTTTTCACATACCTATGTCAGTGGTGTGTATATGTGTTATATATGTATGTATGTATATATATATATATATAGAGAGAGAGAGAGAGAGAGAGAGAGAGAGAGGTGGTGTAACTGTCCAGAGATATTGTAAAAAACAAAAACAAAAAACAAACAATCTTGATTCTTGAATGCTGGTATTATCTATCTATCTATCTTATCTATCTATCTATCTATCTATCTATCTATCATAAAATAAGTAGCCTATATTGATGGGGTCTGCCTCTGGGGATTTGTTTTTGTGGGTGGGGGCTTTAACCCCCCCCTCTTTCCCTCTGGTTTTAGTCCATTGTTGTGAACCTTCCCCTCAGAGTGCTGTTGTCTCCCACTGCCAGTGAGACGCTTGCTCTGCCCCAGAGTGTAAGCAGTGAGTTGCCATATAGAGACTCTTCAGCTCTTAAGTTTTAAACTCACCTAAACTGTGTGGAGCAAACCATTCTACAGGAACCCAAGCGAGAGAGAGAGAGAGCGCTGAACCCCACTCCGCTGTCATTACGCGCAAATCACATTATTCATGTGAAAAAAGACAGAGGGACGCTATGTTTGGTATTTGATGCTTTCCTTAACACAATCTAAGACAGGAGTTTTTTTTTTTACATTTTGAGAAGAAAAGGAGACACGGTCTAAACCCTCCGTGTTGTTCATTTCTGTGGATATATAGCGGTTTTTGGACTCGGGAGCGCTCACGAGCTCAGCGCGAGACACGGAGAAGCTCCTCAAAGAAAAGCAGCACTGGACTTTGAATCTGAAGATTAGTATTCTCTTGTGCTATCAGCCTATTGGTTTTATTTTTGATGGATTTACCAGCGTAACTCAGACTTTCCCAAAAGTTGCTTATTGGATTTCCAAGGATAAATAACTCTGACACGGTGAGGGGAAAAAAGGACACATGAGTGTCTCGAGGGCCACAAAGATCCGAGGGCACTAAGAATTCCGAACCTATTCGGACCGGGCAAAGGGTACACGAAAATAGGTACAATTATTGTTTGCATATTATAAAACTGGGGTCAGATTAGTTGTATGAATATAATTTTATTAAATAATCAGTTGCTTCAGATAAATTGAACTGAAAATTAAGTATTTTTAGGGACTTGCAGTGATTCGATTGTAAATTAAATACTGTTAAGTTTGAACTTGTCCTGCGCTTTATTTCTGCGCATTTGACGAATTTAATATGAAAACAACACCATATAATTTTATTCGTGAAATACAAATTCTTGTTGATTAATCTAGTTCAAATCTAATTTCCGTTCCTGTATATATATTTATCTCTGGTTCGGTTTAGGTTTACTTGCGCTAAGAATAACTTTCATTAGCTATACCAAGTGGTTTCACACTTGTAAATAGATTTATTTAGCTTAACCAAACTCTCACTTCAGTGTGAAATTCTCGTATGTTTTGAGAGCACATGTGTCTCGTACCCGGAGAGCTTGACGTTTGGTCTTATTTATCTCTCATGCTGAGCAAAATAATTATTTTAGAAACACATTTGGAGTAAGTAAATAAGTTGTAGTCTATTAAGTGTACACGAATTGTGTTTAAATATCTTAAATGTTTAAAAGTTCTAAATTTAATACCTATGATATGTATTTGGACAATTGGATGTTGCAATCGTAGATGTTCCGGTGTTCTGTCGATTTGTGCTACCCTGTCAGATTTTGCTACCTCCCATTAAAACAGTGGGTAGTACAATTCGACAACGAAAAATGCTACCTGTAAAATTATGGTTTATTAACGTCTACACCTACACCTACCCCAACCCTAAACCTACCCATACAGTAATGCAAATACAGTAATTATGTGTTATATTCGCGGTTGTGGCTAGAAGGGATACAGCTACAGGAAACCAGCAATAAATGTTTTATTAAAGTCTACACCTACCCCAACCCTAAACCTACCCTTATACAGTAATGCAGATACATTAAATATCGTTGTTCAGTGTGAGAAAAAAGGACGCAAGTAAACCCTGGTAGGACAATCTGACGGGTAGGATGAAATGTCAGGACACCGGATCCAATTCATGTGTTTATATAGAAACGACCCATTAAAGCACTTTGTACAGGTCCCATTCATAAACAACTGTCCTTAACTGCTGCACATTCGTACCTGAGGGTTATTCATGTTCATGAGGGACGTAGACAATGTCCAACAATGATGTAGGTGTACAACAGGACATTCATTTTCAATGTGGTTTTGTGGGCAGGGTTGGGATGTGCAATGCACTATGTCATTTTAAAGGTTCACCTTTCACAATATCTTCGGTGAATTGCAAATCAGCTCTGTTTTTCTCTCAGGTTTGTGACTGCACTGAGGTTGCCAATGCCTGGAGTCAGCATTTGAAGCTGACCAGCTGTCTCCCACACTTACAAACATTACCTCAGCAAGATGTTGAGCATCTTTAAGGTTTTCATTACCATCTGCTTAACGGAACTAGTGTTTTCAAGAAGCATAACATCCGGGGAAGTCCGGGCAAAAGGTATGGATTAAAATAAACAATTTCATTTGAAATCACTCAGATCTGACACTCTGTAATGAATGGTTTGAATATATGATGAATATTCAATATATGATAAATGGAGCTGAGCTATAAAGAATTTAAGTCCAGGGGAAGTTGGAGAGGATGTAATCGTTTAGAGAGTAAAACAATCCCAGTATTTCCCTGAGCCATAAACAGTGCTACCTGATCCTGCCAAAGCCCCGAGGCTCGGAAGTGTAAATCTGTCTGGCCCAGTGCCAGTAACAGGGGATTTGTGGGATGCTAGGAGGGGTGGGAAAGATGGGTCTCCTATGTAATTGTACAAACACTGCGTTGTCTATATTTTATACCTTCCGGGAAGATTTTATACCTGTCGTGTCCAATTATCTCCAAGAGCTATTAAGACTTTCACAGTACTGGCTCCCAGAGTTTGTGTGTGTGTGTGTGTGTGTGTGTGAAAAAGCCTCATGAATACAAATCAGAGGATTGTTTTAAATCACAGTATTAGCCATAAGCTTTATGTGGCATTACATACAATTAGGGAACAGATGTAGACCCTTGTGAAGACTGGGGCAAAGTGTTTGTTAAAAGCATCTTTCTCTGAACACTTGTGAGCTACATTCAGTGCTAGGAAGGTGATAAAGGTTGAAAAAACCCTGTGGTGCAGCCCAACAATGTCCCACTAAGTTCCTGCCAGGAGAAATTAAAGTCATTTGACAACTGTAAGACTTTAATGGGCAGAGCCACCCAGACAAGTGAGAAATGCAGAGCTTAAAGAACAAGAAGAGGCAGAAATGAACTTGTTTAGGGGGAAGTACAAATATGAGCATTTTTATATAGCAATAATTTGATTTATCTACAGCTAAGTAATATAATCCCTTATTTTCAATTCAGAAATAGCACAAGTCATTTGTGGATTCTAGAGGTTATAATAGACACTATAGTATATAAATTTTTTTATAAGACCTTTATAAAATTTCAAACTTTCAAAAAGGAAAAGTAGTTTTCCAATAGTTCATTAGTAGTGTATGACACTTCAGGATTGCAACTCAACCTCTTATGATACCATCGAATCTAAAAATGTAAAAGTGTTTACTGCATGAGCCTGAAAGCCTCGTTTTAGTGCACGCATGTGTTTGCGTGTTTTGTTTAGCTTGTCCTTTATTTTCCCGCTGACCATTCACACCCTCTTCAGGGTCAGATACCGGCCAGGCCCTAGTTTTATTCAGTGAAGTTCATTAGTGTATTGGTGGAAGAATGTTATGCTTCAGTGCTGGAGGTGACATTGCTTGGGTAGGGGGCGTTCTTCACTCAAATGCTCAAAATCACATTCATCTCCGGGCCACAAGGAACACTGCTGTGAAGTCAAAGTTAGGTCATTCTCAGCTGAGAATTGTGTTTCTGTTCTCTCTTTTGTTTGTGGCTTTGTTTGCCTGATTTGCTCCAAAACAGCAGTGGTGAGCTCTGTGAGAAAGGCTGTGGTTAGCAATTAGCGAGAAGTTATGTTAATTAGATGTGTTTATTAAATATGGTTTATACTACAGTCTAATGACAGTAGTAGTTGTTCAAAACCTCCTTTTCTCTGTCCACCAGATATCCGAGTTTCTCGACCGATTCTTATTCCTGGATTTCCTGAGAATGCTACTGTGTTGGTTGGAGGACATGCAAAGCTGGTGTGTAAACTTCACCAGCCAGCCTCAACACGTCTCCAGTGGTTCAAGAAGGACAGCAATCGCCTGGGGCCTGATGGATCACCACTTCTTACAACGCTTACGGTGAGAAAGTGATTTAAAGATCCTTTATTATGCATATTTTCTGTCTTCAGGAAAGAAGGAGTAATGTTACATTTCTTTCCCCCGCAGCCTCTTCTTGAGAACCTCTCCAAAGTCAACATTCTTCCTTTAGTAAATGTCTCTGTGGAAGATGCTGGGGAGTATGTATGCAAGGCGGAAAACTCAGTTGGTCAAACTACTCGCTCTGCCTCGGTGGAAGTCTTATCAGGTAAGTCATATCATCCAACATCATCTGACTTTCTCATCATCAGGGCAGATCTTCCATCATTCTCTGACAGGTCAGCCTTTGGCATTATATTGCCATGAAAACCAGTTTATTAGTATTTAGGAGGACAAAACTGACCACTAGAGTTGAAAGGTCACATCTAAGGAGTAAGCTTAAGTTTAGTGTGATAATGTTGCCATTAGTAACTTTATTTTTCATGTTTGGTCCTAGAAGTTGCTGAGGAGCCAACTGAGGAGACATCAGAGCATCTACTCCTAGAGCTTGGAGATGTACTAAAACTCCGTTGTGATACAAACCGTCCTGGAACTGTCCAGTGGTTCAAGGGTGGTGTACGGGTGCAACACAATGCTCGTATCCAGATAAGGGCAGCAGTCATGGAGATTGCTGATGTCACCTATGAAGATTCAGGAGTGTATGTGTGTATGCTGCGTGGTACCAAAGAAGCTCTACGCAATTTCACTATCACAGTGGCAGGTAGGCTCTGCCACATGGTGACCTTTCAGCAGATTTGTAGTCTTCATTAATAACTCTTCTTTTGAATGCTTGTGTAATAAGATGAACACTTACTGCTTCTTTGCAGATGCTGCAGGATCAGGAGATGACGATGAGGACAATGGCCTTGATGATGCTGGTCCTGAGACCGAAAATGACCAGGTCTACATCTCCAGAGGTTAGTGTTCATTGTAACTACAAATTCAGTGGCGTTCAGCTCCATTTAAGTTTTAGAGTGATAGCTTGAAATGAACCGTTGTTTTTTTTACGTTTTAGCACCATATTGGACTCACACTCAAAAGATGGAGAAGAAGCTCTACGCAGTCCCAGCTGGAAACACTGTCAAATTCCGCTGCCCTGCCACAGGGAGCCCTCTTCCAACCATTCGCTGGCTAAAGAATGGCAGAGAATTCAGAGGAGAGCACCGGATTGGAGGCATCAAGGTGGGTGATTGCTATTTTTGTCTATTGTAGACTTAGCAATGATTTGAACTTTTCGAAATCTCACAGTAAATATCAGTATAACCTCATGCTCACATGTTAACACATTGTGTTTGTAGCTACGACATCAGCACTGGAGCCTGGTCATGGAAAGTGTGGTTCCCTCAGACCGTGGGAACTACAGTTGTGTGGTGGAGAACAAGTATGGGTCCATCGCTCACACCTACCTCTTGGACGTGTTGGGTAAGATGGCTTCTGCTTGCCTGCTCTAGACAGCCGCCTGGCTCCACGAGGAGCCATCGCAGGCTTGCCATGCTTAGCAAATGTCAGAGGCAATAAGCATCAAATCAGTGAGATCCTGTACCAGCAGCTCAGTGGCGTCACATAGCAAGACAGGCACCAAATGCACCTCAGAGAGAGCCACAGGCCACACTGCTACACCACAGGCAAGAGGGTTCACTTGAGGCTGTACATGTCTATACAGATATTTAAGATCCACACTGGAAGAGGGCAATAAATATCATCACAGCAGGAGAATGTGGGGTGAGGGCTGGCATCGGTTTGTATGGTACGTGCCTGGAGGCGCTGTGGGTTGAGGCATCCAGACCAATTTTCTACCTGACCTGTGACAGACCTGTTTGTTAAGAGACCGGCGTGGGGTCAACTGCTGTGTCCTAGCAGACAGGGGGAAAGAACAGAGAATAAAGAGCCCATCTACTTCAAAGCAACCCAACACATGGGCCTGGCTCTAAAAATCCCTTAATGGAACTAATTAGTGAGCGTTGATCAGCTTTGGAAGTGCCGCTTGTCTATCCCTGTGCCTTATCTTTCTTCAAATGCTCTTGAATGTCAACTTTCATAGGCAACATTATTTTGTAGGATGTTGAGAACTTTTTGATAAAACTTTTGTTCAATATCTTTCAGATATAGTGTAGAAAAGTAAAGTCTTCCAATTTATTCTTTCAGAACGCTCTCCACACAGGCCCATCCTTCAAGCTGGTTTACCCAAAAACACTACAGCTGTAGTGGGTGGAGATGCCCAGTTCCTGTGTAAAGTCTACAGTGATGCCCAGCCTCACATCCAGTGGCTAAAACACATAGAGATGAATGGCAGCCGCTATGGGCATGATGGCATTCCTTACGTGAAGATTGTGAAGGTACTTAGCAAGTCATCCATTATACTTTTCTAGAGGTAAAACAAATCATTGTGGAGCGAACAAGCATTAAATTGTTGATTTTTTTCTTCCAACTTCTTAGACAGGAAGCTTGAACATGTCTGAAGTTGAAGTCCTATATCTTACCAATATCACAATGGAGGATGCAGGAGAATACACCTGCTTGGCAGGAAACTCTATAGGGTTCTCTCATCAGTCTGCTTGGCTTACAGTCTTATCAGGTAGGTTTGTATAGACACGTTGATGACACAAATCCTAAAATGGCTTGAGACTCAGAGGTACAAGTAATGAAATCTTGTCAATTTCACAGAGGAGGATGTGGCCAAGGAGATGGACCTTATGGAGGCCAAGTACACTGACATCATCATCTATGCTTCTGGTTTCCTTGCACTGGTGATGGCCATTGTCATAGTGGTACTCTGCCGAATGCAGGTTCATCCCAGTCGGGAGCCTTTTGATACTCTCCCAGTGCAGAAACTCTCCAAATTTCCTCTACGCAGACAGGTAAGATGACACTTTTGAACAAACCTCATGATAATTCCCCAAGAACGTGGAATTCAACAGAGCATTCTGGATTCTAATCCTGTATGTTTTGGACCCTATCACAGTATTCAGTGGAATCCAATTCTTCCGGAAAATCAAGTGCTTCACTGATGAGGGTGGCTCGTCTTTCCTCCAGTTGTTCCCCAATGCTGGCTGGAGTTATGGAGTTTGAACTGCCTTATGACCCTGACTGGGAGTTTCCAAGAGAGAAGTAAGCAGTACCAGCAACCATAGCTGTAAAAAGTTTCCTTTTATATGATGGTGAACTGAATATTTATTTGAAATCTTTTGTGCCAGTTTGACATTAGGTAAACCACTTGGAGAGGGCTGCTTTGGTCAAGTGGTGAGAGCAGAGGCTTATGGGATAAACAAAGAGAATCAAGAGCAAGTGACAACTGTAGCGGTTAAAATGCTAAAAGGTATGTTTGTACTTACATGCATTGTATTAAAGTGTTGAGCATTTTTTGAATCGCAGTCTAAGAAGGAATTTTTGGTCATTTTCAGACGATGCAACCGATAAAGACCTGGCAGACCTCATCTCTGAGATGGAGCTAATGAAAGTGATGGACAAGCACAAGAACATCATAAATCTTCTTGGTGTTTGCACACATGATGGTAAGTTAAACACTGTGGCATCTCATGGTTGTATGAACTTCATTTGGTGATTTTACTTCAATTCAATTTATATTTCTGGTTTAGGTCCACTTTATGTGCTGGTTGAATATGCATCTAAGGGTAGCCTACGGGAATATCTCAGAGCACGTCGACCTCCTGGCATGGACTACACCTTTGATGTGACCAAGGTTCCTGAAGAACAGCTCACCTTTAAAGACCTGGTTTCCTGTGCCTACCAAGTCGCAAGAGGCATGGAGTACCTGGCCTCTAGAAGAGTAAGTTGCTCGCAGGGCTCAATTAGCTTAGTTTTGAAACCAGCCCCCCCACATCTTATCAACACATCCCTTTGTCTGACACGTGATGCCAAGCATTCCTTAGTGTAGTGGTGGTGTGTCGTGTTTACCGCTGTGTCCATCCTGTCTCTGTGGGCTTTGTCCTTTTTAGCACTGCCATAAATCTGTTAGCAAGTAGGCGCTCGGACCCGCCTGTGCACTGGATCGTATTACTAGCTTTTTGTGGCCTGCTAAGAATGCAGTCGTCTTAAACCCCTCCATTAAGGGCCACAAACCAGGGGCCATTTTCGTCCTCTTTTTCAATCCTCAAATACCACTACTATTTAAAATGAAAACCAAAATAAACTTAATGACATGCATTTCCATCAAAAACCATTTATATGTTGTTTTAAGTCCAAGTCTATTTAAAGTTAGGCTTGTTTAAACTTTTGCAAATGTTGCTTACTGTATGTTGATTTATACAGCATTTCTCATATAAAAAGTGGTTTGTCTTTTCTGTTGAGGTTTCATCTGGTTTCATCTGTGGGAACAAAACTCTAGCCTCAATGTGAACATGTTTATCTACTTACCAGAAGCTGAAAAGAGTCGCCAAAACATTGTTTGGGCCATTTCAGCTAAATAGAATTCTCTTTCTTTCTCAACAGTGCATTCACAGAGATTTAGCAGCAAGGAATGTTCTTGTGACAGAGGACAATGTCATGAAAATCGCAGATTTTGGTTTGGCAAGAGGAGTGCATCAGATTGATTACTACAAAAAAACCACTAATGTAAGTAACAATTCTATTCAAGACTTTCTTAGAACTGTAGCTAGATGTTTTTGCTCTTTTGACGACATCTCATTTGTAAGCAGGGCTGTATGAACATTTATGTGCCGTTTTAAAATCTTAATGCTTTTAAAGACAGATGTGTAATGTGTCCATGCTGATTGGCAGACAGCTTAATAGAAGATAATTAGGGAAAGGGGGACGGGGATTAGTGAAGGATTGGGCAGTCATATTTTTGTGGATCCAAAGGAAGTGGAGTGCTTTGGCTTGGCCTGTGTGGCAGCTAACTGTTCCACTCACAGCCCTGTTGTTTCCAATTTCAGGGACGTCTGCCAGTGAAATGGATGGCACCAGAAGCCTTGTTTGACAGAGTCTACACACACCAGAGTGATGTGTAAGTCTGACTAATCATTGCAGCCATGCCAAAGAATCAGCTGAGCAGGGTTCCCCCTGCCTGGAATTTCAGCCCGTTCAGATTAACCAGAATGCACCAGTACATTTTAATCCTGATGGTGGATGTTTTTAATGACTAAAAATGTGTCATAATGACTAAAAAAAATTCTCAGCAAGAAGATTGAATTAGTACAGCTCAAGCTGATTACCCTACATGGTGTGCTGACATTTTTGATCACTTGCTTCCTCAGTTGGTCTTTCGGAGTTTTGATGTGGGAGATTTTCACTTTGGGGGGATCACCATACCCTGGGATACCAGTAGAGGAGCTTTTTAAGCTGCTGAAGGAAGGTCATCGAATGGACAAACCTTCCAACTGCACCCATGAACTGTAAGCATCAATCTGGTCACCCAAAAACATGTTTAATGTCAGTCTTCAAGGTTATGTACTTACTGTATATTCAAATTGCTTTTATAGCTACATGAAGATGAGAGAGTGCTGGCATGCAGTACCAACACAAAGACCAACATTCAAACAGCTTGTGGAAGAGCTTGATAGGGTGCTGGTGTCCATTTCAGATGAGGTAAACACCTATTTCGGAAAGAGTTTGAGTCCTACAATGTTGTTTTATAGCCAAACCACTAAACCAGTTGTATTTTTACATTTTCAGTACCTGGACCTATCCACCCCTTTCGAACAGTATTCCCCATCTTGTGAGGACACCTCCAGCTCTTGCTCTTCAGACAATGATTCAGTGTTTACCCATGATGCTATGTCAACTGACCCATGCCTCATTGGCTACCACGACGTGCGCTCTCCGATGGACCTGAAGACTACAATGCGATAGTCCTTTTTGGCTGAGGGCACAAGCTTGTGGACATCAGATGTTGCTATGGAAACACTTGTATGAAAAGTGGTACGAGGATTTTCACCTTTGTTGCTCTGCCTAAGAACATTATAACAATGCTTGGCACTATGAAATTTGGTGATTGGTAGTTTTTACAGAGAAACAGGACTGAGTCTGGTCATGAGCTTTTTAGTTTAAAGTTTTTATTGAATGGGTGCTGCTGTATGTAGAAAGCTACATTGGAGCAGCATACAGGAGCGTTTTCAAACCAGAATTTTTTTTAATAAAGAGAACATTTATTTTGATATAAAAAGCAGATATCATTGATAAATATAAATATCTCTCTATATAAAATTATTCTAAATTTTTTTATTTAAAGAACTGTCTTAAATCTCAGGATCTTGCATGTTAAAAATTGCTGTAGTGGCAGCAAAGTGCCTGATTTTTGATTTCCTGTGAATACCTTAAAATATTTTATGTACATATCATTACAGAAGACAATTACATTTTATAAATTATTCTAAATGATATAAAGTGAAGGTGTTACTTAGGTGAAGAAATTATGTAAATCTGTTCTGAAGCTATCCCTGAATGATTCTTCATTTCATCGACACATTTACAATAGCTATTGTTTGCTGCTCGTACCATTGTACACTGTCAAGGCTAAACCTCTGAGCACTCAACTTCCTGTTGTTCTGTTCATTTCATGCCTCACCGTTTGGTAAGCATGGATTGTCGTGGTCTTCTCCCCAACCATTCATCCCATTTAAACTGAGACATTGCGGGGACCAGCAACGCTTCCATTGTCAGTACTGTACAGAAGAAAAGGACTCGACTGAATGTGAAATGCCTTGATATTGACTGATTTCAAATGGTGAATCCTCCATTGTTTGGCTGTAACCTTTTAACCACCCCAGTTTGTTTGCAGGGTCCAGGCATAGGCCTAAGTGGACAATGGTCTCATGCAGATGTAATGTGTGTGACTGCTGGCTAGGGTGATTGGGGGGCTGTCTAAGGCCTGTGTGCAAATGAGAAAGCCCCTTATTATGCTAATGGTTCCAGCTGCCCATCTTTATCCTGCACTATCTTTTAATATACAAATGCTAATGCTGGCCTTTCAAAACAAACTCAGCAATGTCCTTCAGGGAATGCAAAGCCTCATCCCACAAGCTGATAAGAAGCCAATGGCTTTTTTCAAGATAATTTACCCTGTACTTTACATTCTTAGCCAGGGACGCTCCTACAGATCCCTTTGGGCACACTCTGGGACAATTGGTGTGCATACTCCAAATAAGTATGCGAGTTGATTTCTCCAAATGTGAGCAAAACTGTTCAATTCGATTTATCACCAGAGCTCAATCTTCTTTTCAGGCAGCTACAGTGATGTATGACCTCTAAATAGGAAACAAACGCTTAAAGCAGTCCATGACACCTACGGAATTGTAAAAGCACATTCTTTGCGTACGAAAAAAACAAGAATTGTAAACCACATGACATTCCATTTGTGTATTCCTCATTGTAACAATCAAACAATGTTATTATAAAATTCCCCTCAAGAGAGTTATTTTAGAAATATTTAATTTATTTGTTTATTGTTTGTTTTATATTAAATAAAGTATAATTTAAAACACTGAGCCACATTGTTTTTGTGAATGTGAGCAAATCACAGAAAATGTTTGAATTTTAGATCAAGCATTTATTTTTATTTAACAAGGTCATTAGTTATTCCATGGACATCAGATCAACACCCTCTTTTGTGATATTGTAAATTATTTGTATTTCGCCTGCTTCAGTCAGGCATATTGACTTACTGATCACACCTCAGTGTCACCCTCTAGACGTCTAGACGCATGTCTGATGCGTCACTGACTTTTCTCTCATGTGTAACAAACCATTATGAGACAAACGGGACAACTATCACTACAGTCCAAATGTGTCTGTCTCTCCATGGAGACAATCTCAGCCAGCTGGTCTTGGTTAGATAAGAGTTTGTCCACCATGGACTGGGTGTCTCTCATCTTTGCATGTCATGCATCTTTAGCCAAAGGGCAAAAGCCCAAACCAGCCTACCAAATGCCATGGGGCTTCATCAAGCTCTGGCTTCCTACTTCATTTTTTCATAATATAGGGTGACCAGATGTCTATGATTTCTGGGGACAGTTGGAGCTGTTCTTGGAAATGTCCCTGCCAAAATACATCAGAATTGTCCTTGTTTTAAAGTTAGAAATGCATTCGAAATTTCAGTGAAAAATTTGGCACTGAATCATATTTGATATTGAGGTTCAATTGTCGTAGTGGGTTTTCAAAAGTATATTAAACCTGCATTTGCAGATAATATAATATTAAATAAATAAAAGGCCACTTAGGTGTAGAATACACTTTCATGGCTGTTTCTTTACGCATTTACACTTTGTAATAATGTCATATTGAATGTTTTCCATTGAAATTTACATTTAAAATCATTGTTTGAATAATCTGTTATCATGCTTTAAAGAAGTACACTAATTTTTACTTTAGATTACTTTAATTGTAGTGTGTTATTTGATTTTGCATTTAAAGTTATAATATCATAATATGTATTTCTAACCGATGCACATTCCTTTTTGTGCACATGCAGCCCTGAAAAGTACATTGTACAAAACATTATTGTGTTACATGCAACATGGCATAATTTGTTGATCTTCTTATCAAAATCTCGTGAGTAGTGACACTGCTAAAGAGCAAAGTAATAACAGAACATATGCCAATGGAAACATCTTTATGTTCATGTTCTTCTTACAGTAGGCACTATGTCAATGTCATTTTTATCTACAGAAACCAGTGTGTAGTGCAGTAAGGCCAGCCAGAGTAATTATGTAGCAATTACTTAGAATATTACATCAGATGTTTGCCTTCCTGTATCCTGTTCCAATTAAGGTCACACACTTACAAAATCTCTCTTTATCTGACACATTCCCTCACATACTTTGTAGTGTGTGTTGGGGGGGGGACTCTAATGAACATTATTTGCAAAACCAATTTTTACATATTCTTGTTACAGAATATTTAATCTTGCATATCTTCTCACAGACATAAGCATGATGTAAAGACTCATTGTAGTTGAGTTATACTAACCGTTCAGCAGTTCATAGTTAATGTTCAACCGCTTAGCCTTCAGCCCAGCGCTCCGGACGAGAGCACAATGGCTTATCTGTGTGTGTGTTTTCTCTTTCTCTCTATCTGCTGATCAAGGGAAGTATTTGAACACTTGTCTATACACAGAGCCTCTGTGGATAATGCCTGGAGTGTGTGAGGCCAGGAAGTGTAAAGGGTAAACATCCCCTAGAAAATGGCACCATTTTATTTTGGCTCTTACGCTTCCACACAGGTTTGGACTTCTTTATTGAAATGAACTGTCAGAACTGGCCTGGCAAGCATCAGATTTTATGGAGAAGATATATTGCTGTTGGATTATATCATGGAGTTTGACATTCCACCTAGTTACCCTTGACGTCAGACTCATCTATTTTTCCACAGGCACTTCAGTACACTGTAAATGCTAATGTGTTGAATAGGCTCAAATTTTATTTGAGTAACCCTACCTAGTTTGCAGGTAGACATAATTATCTTTTTCACTTAATTTCAGTTGAAATGGCTAAAAACAACAAAAGCTGAAATTGCACAAAAGCTAAGCCAAGCATTTCTGAGACTCAGTTCCCAGCTGTGCAACTGGATAAAAAGAGTTGATTCAATAAAGTTAACTGTTATTTTATGTGTTTTTGGTAAACACAAGATGTGTAAAGACTGGTTAAGTTCGGGTGTAGCCAACACAGCCTCATGAGAAATTTTAACTATTTTACAAGTTGGGGATTTCGTATGAATTTGTACAATGTGATTTGTATGGAAACATATGATTTTTGGGGGGAAAAAATGCAAACATGAAGGTACCCCTAAACTTAACTGTCAATAGGGTGTAAAGAGATCATATGAAAATGCATGAATGAGATGTACACTAATTTGCCAAAATGTAAATAAATAAATAAATAAATAAATACATAAATAAATGAAATTGTTTTTAAAAGAATTTATAAAATTCTTTAAAATATAAAATTTATAACAAGTAAAATACACAATTTTTATTTTATTATTTGATAACATGCTACATTATTAGGTATAGACATTTTATTAAATATAGAAATAATCCTCCTCATAGCCATACTGGGCAGCGTGCTCTACTTCCTCTACAAGAAAGGAAAGCTGCCCTGTGGACGGTCGGGAAAGCAGGATTTGTATGTTTTTGTTTATGAAAAAATACATATGATTTGAATATAATAAAATAAGTATAATTAACATAGGCTTAATTAACATTAAATGAATAGTTCACCCCATGATTACTTCTGTCCCATATTAATTTATAGAAAACATTAGGAAAAGCAATTAATAAGAATATTTGCAAAGGCAGGTTATACGAAATATGCAATTTGTAGGTTCATTTGATATGTGGCACTGTAAAAATGACACACTGCACCTTTAAATCAGTGTTGTTATTGTTAGTAAAACTATTACAAATAATTTTTTTGTTAAGCTTAAAATAAAATATTAGATGAAAAACTTAAAAAGCAAACTTGTTTTCACATTTCCCATTTTTAAGTTGTTCTAAAATTACTAAAACTAAAATAAATTAGAATGTGTTGGTTTTTTTTATTATTTTTTTTTTTTAATGCTATTTTTTTAGACAGCTTTGCAAAGATAAAAAAGATACGAATATCAAAAAAAGTGAGATATTGTTCTCCATTAAGGGCTCCCGAGAGCTCAAAGGCCAATTCATGAAAAAAAGACACACATAGTCCCACAATCCTTGTAGGCTACAGGAGAAGCAGGGTGCCTGCTACACACTGGATCACATATCCTAAAGCTGTACTCTCTGTCATGGGCAAAAGAAAGCCCTGAAACTAGAGATGCAGGAGGAATCAAGAGGAGTCTTCAGTCACTGAAAGAAGAAGAGCACAGGGAGGACGGAAGGAGGGGGAGAAGAGGGAACCATGAAGGAGCTGTGGGCCCCACCACCGTCTGCAGACCCTCATAACTCCTTCATATTTTTCTGTGGGGTTATTTATTGCTCTGTAATTTTGGAAGGTGCCGGGGGAGTGTAATTGATTTGGTTTGGATTTCAAGCATGGGAGGAGTGGGACGGGCCCCTGCAATCGGAATGGGGAATCTGGGCCCCTTCACCGCCTCACAGTCTGCCATAATCTCCAAACCAACCCACTTTATCAGCATTCCCACAACAAGAC